ATTTGGCTGGTGGCTGACTGGTGCTCAGTTTTGTGTTTATTCTGTTGGTCCCACGGGTATCAGGACAGTTGTGAGAACTTGTGATCAGCATTTAGTTTAATGTGACTGTTCAGGGATCAGTTTGTGTCCTCCACATGATCTTTACAGTTTGTGGCCGGTCCCACACTGGATTGTAAGATCACCTTTACAGATCATTAATTATAGCTAGTACATTGTTGAGCATCCAGTTAGGCACCAGAATATTGGCTGAACATTAGTACAAGAGAAACCACTACATTGTTACTGGTGTTCATTGAGTCACTTCCAAAACACCTCCAAACACCTTCTATGAACGGATGATGTATATCAGACATTGGATAGTCATTTTATACTTTATAAAATATACTTTATACTTTATACTAAAATTACCAAAAAAAATAACAAATTCTAGCATTTCGAATGTGAATATTTGCTGATTTCTTGTGTTTTATATGAGAGTACACTGAATATCTTTGGACTGTTAGTCAGACAACATAAACAACAACAACATGCTGTTGCTCAATACTGAAAACAGTTGCACCCATTCATGGATAATAACATTTATCACGATTCACAGCATTATATACATCCATATTGATTAATCTCTACCATAACCTGGCACATCCACTGAGCTCAAAAGACTCTCTCATGCGGTGTCTTGGTAGCTCTAGCTCACCTGGTTGAGCGTGTGGCTGTGTGCCCGATGTAATAAGGCTGAGTCTTTACCACAGCGGTACAGGTTCGATTCCAGCCTGTTAGCTCTTTGCTGACAATTACGAGCTATCACTATCCATTAAAGGCATAAAAAGCTCAAAAATGTTTTAAATAAAAAGTCTTTCCCATATTATATCCCCAAATCAGACCATATTAATTCAAATGGTAAATAGAAACCTTTGTTCTTCAGATTTTTCTCTTCAGTTGTTATAATACTTCTTCTTTTCCATTTTTTAGAGGGAAGGGATGTCAAAGTTTAATAAAATCTATGAGTATGAATACCATCTCTTTGGTCAGGTAAGTAAAATAGTACAGTGAAATAATTACATATGCACATCTGTTTTTTTTGTGTTTTCCATTGTCTCAGATTTTTCTGTTTCGTTATGTTTCTGTCCAGAATGTGACAGTAACCATGACATCAGTATCAGGCCATTTACTGGGGATGGAGTTTAAAGCGCCCTTCCAGAAATGGTAAGTTAAAGTTTAAGTTAAGTTGTATATTCACCATCACACAGTATCCTACACAACTGACTGTATTTGTACTTTTTCTGTCCACAGGCACAGCTGCAATCCTGTGCTGTTGTTTGATGCTGAGGTAGAGAAGTATTGTCCAGATAACATGCTACAAATCAAGGTATGCTTATTGTCCTACTTGCATGAGTTACAGAAATATACAAAAACAAATCATGTATTTAAAATAACCTTTGAGATCCGTCACTCGTCTGTATCCACATTGTGTGTTTGGTTGATATTGGTAATGTTAACTGTGAACTGAATCACAATTTCACTTTTCGTTTTTGCTTGTTCGATTGCCTAATTGCTTTATTTTTATAAAACTGGGATAAACTTCACCATTTGTTAATTTCGAGTGGGTGTAGGCGCAGATGATGCACTTTTTCATCTCTCAGCAGTAGGAGTTTATAATTTCCATTCAAAGAAAATAATGATGAATGTGGATTATAGAAATGGACTTGAAAGATTTATATGACTCCCTCATTCTCCATATTCTCTCTAGCGCACACTAGAGAAAGAGGCGAGACAGTGCCAGGCCTTAGTCATCTGGACGGATTGTGACAGAGAGGGAGAAAACATTGGCTTTGAAATCATAGACGTCTGCAAAACAGGTATGATAGAATTTGTAGGTTGTTTTTGTTGTTGTTGTCTGAGAGTTAGATGAGAAGATTGATATCACTCTTATGTCTGTATGGTAAATATGAAGCTGGAGCCAGAAAACGGTTAGCTTAGTGCAAGACTAGAAACAAGCAAACAAACAAACAGGGAAACAGCCAGGTTCTGTAATAAAGTAATAAACCAGTAATAAAAACGGTGCTTCCTAAAGCTCAATAATTAACACGTTATATCACATTTGTTTAATCTGATCAAAAACTAAAGAATGAAAACAACACAAGTTTTTTTGAGGAGTATGTGCCTGGCTAGCCGTTTCCCCCTGTTCCCAATCTCTGCTAAGCTAAGCTAAACAGCTGCTGTCTGTGGCTTCTTTACTGTACAGACGTGAGAGTGGTATCAATCTTCTCATCTGTTTATTCCAAAATGTCGAACTATTCATTTAACAATGCACATCTTAGTATGTAGACTTAATATATAAATGAATATGTAGAAATATAAAGGTTTCTGTGACTGTGTAAAGCCTAAAAATAGCAGGTTTTGTGTATGTTTCAAATGGCTCCTGCTAATAGTGTATGTGTATGCTTTCTAGTGAAGCCCAATATACAGGTCTTTCGGGCAAAATTTTCTGAGATTACCCCCAACTCCATTCGGAGAGCTTGTGAGACTCTAATGGAGCCGGATGCTAACATCAGCGATGCTGTCGATGTCCGTCAGGAGCTGGACCTGCGGATAGGTAGGATAGCACTCTTAAACTGTACTGAGTAATATGTAGAGACACACTAAATCAGGTGAAGAGGATTTATTTAGGATTAGTTCATACAGTATAATCACAATTTAGTCTGGATGTATCACTTTTGTATCACTCTAGTGCCTCTTCTTATCTAAACGTGTGTGATATCATGGAAAAGCCTGAAAGTTGTGAATATGATCCTATCCTCTCTCCTGTGCTCATCTTCAGGTGCGTCCTTCACTCGATTTCAGACGCTTCGTCTGCAGAAGATCTTTCCAAACTCTCTGGCAAATCAGCTGATCTCATACGGCAGCTGTCAGTTTCCCACTCTGGGCTTTGTGGTGGAGCGCTTCAAGGCCATTCAGGCTTTCATACCTGAGACTTTCTACAAGATCAAAGGTACAAACCTCAGAACCATACGGGGATGGATGCATAATGGTTTTAAACCGAGACTCTATCCTCTTCATTCCTTCTGTTCTTTGTGTCTGTCGTGGTCAGTGCTGCATGAAGTGGAGGAGGACACTGTGGAGTTCAGTTGGAAAAGAAACCGTCTCTTCAACCACACAGCTTGCCTGGTGCTCTACCAGATCTGCATGGAGGTATGTGTCTGTTTGCGTTTGTATGTTTTATGTTATGTTATGTGTGTGTGTGTGTGTGTGTGTGTGTAAATATGTACCTATGCTGTGTCCTTTGAAGGTCAGATGATGTTGCTATTGTAAGCTCTTTCTTAAAAACATTTACTGTGACAAATCTGTGGTTCTTTCAGTGATTTTATATTTAATGTGTGTTCAGCATTCAGTTTAAACATTGCTGAGTTGTTGAGATGTGCAAGGAAAGGCTCTACTCTTGACTATCAATGTCAACAGTCAAGTTATTGATTTTGTTCTGTTTTGATTACTAGTTTATGTTCGTGAATGTAATGTAGGTCTTAGTTATGTTCTTAGTGATGCTTTTAGTCTTTGTATTGGTCTTATTTACCTCCCAACCATTCCTTTAGGGGGCTATAGTTTATTCTTGTAATATGCTAATTAAGAGGCTAACTTAAATCACCTAAACTTACCACAACCATGTAGGTTTACCACAACACGGGGCAGACTGTCTGTACAGCAAGTACCTAATAACCTTATCAAACACAACATAACAGAAGAAGTAAAGATTAAAAAAATATATTGTTACCCTATTTGATCTTTTCTCCAGAGATGAAATTTCAGTGACAAAACATTGGATACATAAAAATAAGGTATTATGTTGTAGAGTCTGACAGATACCGATTTTAGAGCTTAGCGATACAGTCGCCAATATAGTCTGGAGCTGGAGCTAGAATGAAAATTGACCTTTTTTTATGTCGATTTTGCGCCGATATGACTATGCAAAGGTACTCAGAAGGCTGCTTACATAATTTAACATATAAATAGTCAACCTATTCTAGTAGACATTGTTTAGAGCTGCTTCTTTTCTCTTACTCTGTGCTGTTTTCCACAGTATCGTAAAGTGCAGTGTTAAAATAAACTTTGTAGTTACACCAATATAACACATTACATTACAATATATACCAGAACATTTGAATATTGGTGCATATAAGATAAAATATAGCTGATACCAATACCAATATGGCCTGATAATATCAGCCGCGCTCTATTACGTTGTCTCAAAAGCTGTAAATATTCTGAAAAAAATAAAAATAAAAGCTGTAACTCTGACCCTACACACTAAATTAACCATTAAGAAAATCCACAAAATAATGTTTGTAAAATCAGGTCAAAATTACATTCTTGGGGCGCCTGAATAACTCACCTGGTAGTAGTCCTTGCTGCAGCGGCCATGGGTTTGAATCCAACCTGTGGCCCTTTGCTGCGTGTCCCCTCTCTCTACCCCGTTACCTGTCTATCTTCAGCTGTTCTATCTAATAATAATATAACATATATCAATCATTTCACAATATCAGCTTTTTTCCTAGAAAATGCACAGTGTCAGTTCTTATGATATTGCATGTGCAATAATACATAACTATGACAATATAATCTGTTATCATACTGTAATAAAGTCTATTAACTTAATTATCACCCTCTCACACTTTGTGTATTTAATAAGGCCCTCACATTTTGGTTTTGTAACAATTTGTGCAATAGTGTCAATACATTTTGTTGTTCTGTAATCTTTTGTTGATGTAGCCTCAGGTCCTTTTTGTTTTAAACCCTGTGTGGTCTCAGTTACTGGTAACAGGATGGAGGTGTCATCTGAATCTATGACTGTATGACTGAAAAACACTTATGTGCCAAGATGCTCACAGCTGACAAGCATGTAATTATCACGTAGCTAGTTCACTGTTTCCCACGGAGCAAGATGTGACTATCAGGAGCCAAACTCAGGTCAGATATACACAATACTGTATGTCCCTGTGCACCAGGGATCAATCAAAAAAATCAAGAGTTACTAACTGGTTTCCTTTGGTTTCTTGAGTAATAACAAATAAATTTGGGTGGCAGTAGCTCAGTGTGTAGTGGAGAGGGCCAGTTTCAACTCCCGCTTGTGCCTGTCGAGGTGCCCTTGAGCAAGCCAAGCCTAAAAACCCCGAGAAACCTGCTATCCCCTGTTACCGTTGGCAGCCCCATCAACTCCACCCATGCTGTCTCCCCTTTGCATGCCACAAAGTGGGCATGAAGTGTGCATTTCAGGCCTGTGTGTGTGTGTGTGTGTGTGTGTGTGTGTGTGTGTGTGTGTGTATAAAAAGAGTGAAAAGAACAATTATCCCTACGGGATCAATAAAGTATATCTTTTTCTTAAACAAAACTCAGTTGAATTCTTATGTAAATAACATAATAACAAACGTATAAATCACACCATGAATTCCTACATATTTAATGTATTTAAATATATATTGATTCTACTTTAAGTGTTAAAAAATCTGACAAGGTCAGCAAAAAAGTCCCCAGATTATACATTAAAGCTGCACTTATCAATGGTTTTATATATACAGTAGATCAAATGACTATGTATATAATTTGAAAGGGGTCTCTTGGGCTACGTTATTTAATATATCATTTATATTTAATTTAAATGCAAAAATACAGTGATCCGCCCCTGTCTGTGTGTGTGTGTGTGTGTGTACGTGTGCGTCTGTGTCTGGTTTGCATTGTTGTTACCTTTTGGGGACCTTTTCTGGTATATAAACACTGACCTTGTTGGGACCAGTTGTCCTCATGGGGACCTAATGTGGCAGAACATAATTTCTAAGGTCCTGGGGTTAGGGGCAATGTGTGAATTGAGATTATGTTATGGTTAGGTTAAGGGGTTGGGTTAGGCTGTCCACAAGGAAGTCAAGGTAATGTCCTAACAAGGATAGCTGGGCAAACTTTGTGTGTGTGTGCTTTGTTATGTAAGTGCATCCACACATGTGTAACCTCTCCTCAACCTGCAGCTTATATCTCAGGAGGACACAGCGATAACTTTGAATGTGTTGTCAACGTGCCTGAATAAAATGGGCTAAAAGCCACATGTAGAAAGGTACACACGAGTAAGATCCTTTCATTCATTTCCAGAATCCCATAGCAACAATCACCTCAGTAACCAGCAAACCAAAGAACAAGTGGAGACCGCTGCCTTTGGACACTGTGGTAAGAATATAAAGTTGAACAGCCAAACACATACATATGTTGCATCTCAAAAGACACCTGGTTATAGTATAAAGTGTATATAGTTATTTTTACAGCACAGCAGAAATAGCAGTATGTTGCCCGCTTTAATCTCCTGTGTTCTTGTAACAGTCCTTTACATTTATGTGTCTAACAGGAACTGGAGAAACTGGTATCTCGGAAGCTAAGAATAAATGCCAAAGAGACCATGAAAATTGCAGAAAAGCTTTACACCAATGGGTGAGTGCATGTTAGTTAATGTGCATGCATACTGCTATCCACACAGCAAAGTGTTATGTTGGTCCGACCATATGCTAAATGTCCTTATCAGTTTACCCTCCCACAGTATTTTTGATCTTTCATTTGAACTTGTTTCACTCAGATAGCTGGCTTGAAGCCACCTTATTAGAGGCTTTGTGGTGTCAGTGAAGCGGTCAAATGTTTTTGTTGTTGTTTTTTTGTTTACCGGGTTGTTATACCACCTCAAAGTCGAGGCTATTTTTGTACATGAAAAGACACCATCTGGCAGGGTGGCCTCTTTCAGGCCTTTAATAGATGAGTTTACCAGCAATGTCACATTTCCAAAGCATTCCTTTTCATTTGTGTGTGTGTGTGTGTGTGTCTGTGTGTGGGAAGATGAGTTGTGACTGTGTGTGTTTTATTTTTTCTGCTCAGGTTTATAAGCTACCCCCGTACAGAGACAAACATTTTTCCTGAAAGCCTGCCTCTCAGCCCCCTAGTGGAGCAGCAGGTACTAAGCCCCATCTGGGGCACGTTCGCCCAGCGGGTGCTCGACCAGCCTGGGGGTCCCAAACCACGGCAGGGCAAGAAGTCCGACCACGCCCACCCCCCCATACACCCCACCAAGTACTCTAATACACTGCAGGTAAAGCCACAAAAACTGCCACTCAGTTTGTGCAAATGTACTTAATCTGAATGTCTGTCCTCTGGATAACAACAAGTGTACAAAAAAAAATTCTGCTAACATAATGTTGGTGTTTTTTTACATTTTGAATCATAATAAACAGTCTTAATAAAATACAAACATTTGATCATTGGTGACAGGTCTTTCTGTGCCCAACCAGTCCTTGTCATATCTTTAAACTGTTTATTTTTATACAATATGTTGGAAACAATGGACTCAAACATTTCACAGACTGACAGCCCAAATGTCACTGGAGTTGTTCATACAAGATAATAAAACATTGATCAGGGCAAAACAAAAACAAAAAAGCATTTTTAGGCCACATGTCCTTTTTAGTTTATTGGCATTTGATGAACTTTGAAGTATATGTATATTAAAGGTCCGGTGTGTGAAAATAAATGGCAGAATGGAATATAATATAATAATAATAGGTATGTTTTCCTTGTAGAATCACTTATAGTGGAGTCATTGTGTTTTCATTACCTTAGAATGAGCGTTTTTTTATCTACAGAAGCCGCAGGTCACCTTCCATGGAGTCGCCATGTTTATACAGTAGCCCAGAACGGACAAACCAAACTCTAAGTGTAGATATGGATTTTTGCCTTTTTCACGAGTTTTGTAGCGACCATAGTTCCTCCTACGCGCTTTCCATCCCCTTGTCATTCCCAAAATGTCAAATAGAGATGCAAGCAGTGTTCAGTTAGTTGCAATATGAAACTTCACCACTAGATGTCACTAAATACTTCACACTGGCCCTTTAAGTGTCTAGACAAACACAAACATACACACATTAACAGATGACCATATTTCATGAATATTCACACACATACATCTGGAAATGAACACAGACGCTGTGAAGTAAGGATTTTCTGTTTCTTCTGTGTCCAGGGCAATGAAGGACGCGTGTACGAGTTTATTGTCCGGCACTTCCTGGCTTGTGTATCCCAGGATGCTTTGGGTCAGGAGACTGTGGTGGACATAGACATCGCCCAGGAGAAGTTCTCCACCTCGGGACTAATGATCATTGCAAGGAACTACCTGGATGTTTACCCGTATGACAGGTGGAGCACTAAGGTATGGTGTGTGTGTTTGTGTGTGCCCAACACACACACAACACTCACTGACTACCCACCACACACAACACGACACACACACGCACCCAACGCTTCAGTGCTCCCCAGCACTTTCGCACTCACGGTTAAACATCCGTAGTTCTTGCAATGCATCATTATTCCCGAGTGAAGAACTTCTCCTGGCGGCCCGCATGCCCTGGTCTGATGTCGCGAGCCACCACAGTCTCCTGACCCCACAAGCATCGTCCTGGGT